AATATCTAGTGGGAAAAAGCAATGGAAGAGGCTTGTCTAAGAGGATATGTCTCCACAGAGAAAGGGTCTCTAGCTCAAACATTTCCTAGAAGAGTGAGAGCTTCAAGTAAGTGAAGTCTTTATTTCTTTTTAAAGTTTTGTTTATCTATACAAGAACTGGGGTACAGGCCAGAGGCATGGGAAGGTGAGATGATTCACTAGAGACAGAGTGGGGAACAGAACAAGAAGACAACCAAAAACATTGCTGAGGGGAGCAGCAGGCGAGACAGGAGAAGTCTGCCGCGCCATGTGGGTATCTCCCTGGCCAGCCAGGAATCAACCCCCCACTGCAGAGGCTGTGGACAGTTTCACAGTGCTACGCTCAACCCGCTGAGCCACCGGGGAGGCCTCTACGTGAAGTCTTGACAATAAGAAAACTGACAGGTTGAAGAATAAGCCTGTAGAAAAGGAAGAAGCATGAAATGCGCAGTGCATTCCAAGAAGCAGTGTTGAGCATGGCCGAGAAAAGGCAGCATGTGGAGGTGACACTAGAGAAGCAGACAGCAGTAGGACCCCAGAAGTGGGATTCCTGAACTAAGGCATGGACCTTGATACATTCAAATCACAAAACTGACCCCTCCTGATTGCATTTTAGTATGATTACCTGGGGGTAGTACAGACTCTGGGTTGGCAGTGTCAGTCTCTGGTACAAGAAGCTAACAACTGCATACCTGAGAACTGCCAGTCTTTTGCATGGCTCAATGTAACATGAGAGCAGCTATTTCTAAGTTCATTCTTCAGTACTAGGCCAAAGACCACCAGGTAATCTATTTGAATTCAGCTATAGACAAATACATAATGCCTGGATAGGGGTTTAAGGAAATTCTTACTAGTACCCCCTGCTTCCTGACATGTAGGTAGCAAGGTCATTTACAAGACTGAGGTAGGTAGACTTTGGGTTCTTATTGAAAAATAGTCACCGAATCACACTAAGAAACTGTTCTCTCACTTGTGGAAAGACAAATTGAAGATTTCGGTGACTGTTACTTTAAAGTTATCCTTGGGTCCACCTGAGGGCAGCCTGAATCCTGAAACCTTTAGGCGCACCCTGGGGTATTTGCACTATGACAATGAAAATACAGAATGCCCAAGGAACCTATTCTTCACTTCAGTATTAAGCTGACTTATTGTTTATTGTACAAAATTGCTGACATGACAGATTTTCAACTTCAAAAGCAGCAATCTTAGTTTAACTTAACAACGACTTTTTAATTTATATATTTATATATATTTTACATCATTGTTCATTTTTAAACAATGTTTGCTTTATTTTCTCAGGTGTAGTCCCCAGAGAATTTCCACAATATATATATACACACAAACATATAGTGAAAGTCTTAAATATTTTGAGAAATTGAGGCAAATTCATATCGAGAGAGAGCTACAGACATTCTTAGCCGGAGGAGGTGGGAGTCCCTGTGTTCCTGCGCTCCCTCACTGAGAGTGCTGAAGATGTGTCCACTGAAAAAAGATTTTTCTTAACCAAGCCCTCATTGGGCTCCTCTGAGCTCCTTTTCAACCAGACCTTGACTTTTGGACTTCTGTGTTCGTCCATGCATGTGCAATTTTAACAAGAATTCTGCAATTTAGGCAGAATTTCACCCTTTCACTATCTGATTACTCACTGTCTAATCATGGTCAGTAACAATCCTATTAGGTCCGTTTAGCCAACATCTCTTCCTTACCCTGATGTTTTCTCCTAGTAACTTTCCATCCACAGCACCCTCCCCACCCCCACCCCGAAAAAGCCTCTTATTTGAGGGATTCAGAGTCGAGGCCAATCTTTCTGCTTTACTGCTAGATACCATTGCAGTAGCCCCTACACCTATCCCGATGGTACCTCTAAATAAAGTCTGCTTTATTGTTCTTTAACAAGTGTGATCAATAATTTTTTTTCTTTAACACTACCAACCATGAAGAAGAGCAGCCCAGCCAGCACCACTGCCAATCTCTACGTCCCCAGTGAAAATCACATGCTCTTGATTAATTGCTCCCTACTCTTAACTACCACTTACCCTCCTCACTGTGGGACACAAAATCAGCCAGGGATATTGCACCTCAACCTATATCCTAATTTGACCCTCTGAGGCCTGTGCATCAAACTCTAATTTTCATCAAAATCAGGGCAAAATCCATCGTGCCACTGATGTCTGTTCCCACAGTTACTCGTGAGCCTTAGGTCATCTGTCACTTTCCTTATCTGAACTTCTCACCTCCCTGTGCCTCATATACCACATCCCTTGCCTCCCCATCCTTCCAGATGCTTCCAGAGTATTCTCAAGAACTCCCTCGCAGATCAGCCACCTGAAGTGGATGGGCAAGTCAGTCTGGATCAGGTGTGCATAGATTTAAACAGCCTCACTGCAGCTATAGGTCTAAGATGTGTTTCCCAGCTCATCTTTACGAGAAGTTATTTTATATTTGAGGTCAATTGCGTTCTGGTTCCCCCTGCAGGAGAAAGGTTATGACTGGCACCTCACTGACCCCATGACAAAATCCACCAAGTCACTGGCACACCCCCATCCTTCTTCCATGGTCTATCTTAAATCCCCTCAGACATCCCCCCCACTTATTCTGCTTAAAGTGCATGGTGCATCTTTATACTCGTTATCTACCCCTTTCCCTTGCATTAAAATTATGTAATTTGATAAAAGGGCTAAATCTGTGATTACCTGCCTAAGGAAAGATTAAATCTAGGATTCTAATTCTTCCCTCATTTGAGAAAGAGAAAAAACAGGCAGACGGACAATCAGAGACACAAATGGGAGCTGAAAAGTAACTTTTTCTGCCAGAGTCTTGTATTTTTAGATAATATTCTCCAGCTTCACACCACCTACTTAATGACGGGTGGTTTCACAATTTCCTGAAGTTTTGCCTTTCAGTTAAACACTGAGCCCAGCAGCCAAGCCGGACTTTCTTCTTTCCCAGTGGATTCTCTATTTTCAAGTTCTCTGTGGCCCAGTCAAGGATCACCTTCTAGAATGGTGAGAAAAGTAGAAGCACAACTTAAATTGGTTCGGGGCCCAAAGGTCTCAATGTCTAAAGTTCCTAAAACTTTCTGTGGTTGAAAACTGTCTCCTTGCAAATCATTGCCAAGGTGTATAAACATTTTCGAATGAAAAATTCTAAGAAGGCTCTGGATTCCTGGGGACTGTGGAGGGAATGGATCTGCCCATATTCTGGCCAAAGACTTTTCACCAATGCTATCACAAGGCCAGTAGGCCTGAAATTGATCCCCGTTACTATTACTAAAGTACCAGACATAAGGGTTTGCCACAAGGGAATTAACTCTCCGTCCTGCCTTCCTACTGCATCGGCTGTATAAGGAACAGGGACACAGCTGTGGACGATGCATGGAGGGAAAGTGGCCAGTGACAGGTGGGTCCTTTCAGACCCTTTTTCCTTTCTTAGTCTTACTTCTACTCTCTACTGTCAGTCCTGGCACAGAGAATCTTATCTGTAACAGAGAAGGTTATTTATCAATATTCATGCTCTGCTTTTCTTCCCACCTAAAACTTTTCGCAGACTCTTGAGTCTTGGCGGGGCCACGACCTTGAGTTCTAGAGAGTCAAACCACAGGACATATCTTTCTGTTTCTGGCATTGGGTCTAGAACAAAAGTTTCAGGCTATTCACTACCTGCATGTGATCAGCTACAAAATTCTACTAGCGCATTGTATCAGTGATGATTTAGAGGACTGGACTCCTGCGAACAAAGTCAGAAGAGACTAATGGGCTGGAGGGCCAGGTTTAACATTTATAAAGAAGCCTTACAGATGCGGCCAAAGACTAACGATTGAACAGTCCCACCTTGTTCTTTTTTTTTTTTTTTTTAAGGATCTATTCATCCATGCATAGAAGAGCTGGGGTACAGGTCAGAAGTGTGGGTGGTGAGAGAACTCACCAGAGACAGAGTAGGGAACAGACCAGACAGACTGACCAAAACACACTGTTGAGGGGAACAGCGGGCAAGACAGGAGAGATCTGCTGTGCCACGTGGGTTGCCCCCTGACAGGCTGGGGATCGAACCCGTGCTGCAGAGGCCGCAGACTGCCCCATAGTGCTGTGTTCCAACCTTCTGTGCCAACAGGGAGGTCCCCCACCTTGTTCTTTGACATTGCTGCAGACAGTGAGCCAGGGGACTGCATCACCCCTCATTCTTTGAGCCCCGGGAAGAAAGGATTTGGTCACACACATTCCTACTTTCAGAACTATTCTGGGATTTATGTGCCAGTGTGGTGAATTCACACATCATAATGGTATCACAGCAAGTTCCACAGACAGGGAGGAATTTGATGATAGGAATTTCATCTTGAGGCAAAAAGTTCCTGTTATCTTATCAGGCAAATACTGCATCCAGCACCAATGGTTCCCACCTTTTGGTCTGCATGATCAGGACTGAGAAGTTGGCTGGAAAGCAGGAGGTCCTCTCCACAGATAACTACTGTGAAATGTGTATAAATACAGTGGAAGCCTCAGAATGCTTGGCTCCAGGAATGGCAAGACCAACAAGATCAACATTGCTGACTGTGGGCAAATCCAATAAATTTGAGCTTTTCTATAATCTTAATTATTTTTTTAATCATATTGTTTCTTAGTGAGGTAACCACTGACTTATAACATTGTATATATTTTAGGGATCTAGGTTCACACCTCTTCAGATGTATGTCACTATAATACACCCAGCACCCATAATCCTTCACCCTAGACTTTTGGGCCTTCTCCCCCTTTTACTTACTTTGCTGATGCTTAACCACCAAACAATTCCATCAGAGGAGAAAGCACACATTCACCCCCATCTTCTAGAAAGATCCTATCGTCTTTGTGTTCCCATTGCAGTGTTCCTATTTTTCCTTATCCCCACGCCCCCAAGTCTAGATGGATCACACAGTTAAATTTATGCTTATAAAATTTAAATAAAAAAGAATTTAAGAAAAAAAAAAAAAACTATGTCAAGCATACCAGAATGTTCCTGTTCGCTCACATCCTTAAGAAGAACTTGTGTGTCTTCCAGGCTTTTCCCTTTCAGGGAGGTATGGGCTGGATGCAAGTGATGGTGAGGCCCTAAGGAAAGCAGAAACACAGAAGGGGGTCACTGGGCCACCATATGAGAAAGACCCCCCCACCAGCAGAAGCAGGCACAGGATTCTTGAAGGAGCAAGAAATAACCTTCCACTACATTAGTCCTTCCACACTTCTGTCTCTGTGACCTAGCTTACCTGAAATCATTCAATATGTTTAGAAGATTCATGTAACTCCCTATAAAGGATTTAATAGATCTTTTTGATTTACTCAGAAATATCTTCCACAGAGTGAAAAGAGAAAATGCCTGGCCCATCTGTACAGGAGAAAACTTTTCAAGACTCTAGTTCTTGCCATTTTGGTGAAGTCATTCACATTCTCCTAGGGGACGGTTTATTTTGCACAACCATGTTTATTTTAAAGGCTTAGATTCCCTTTGGAGCTTGATACTCATTTCAAAAGTGTTGAGTCACTTTTATTGAACCTTCTTAGGTTGTCGTAATCCAATCCTGGAAGGGAAGACTTGTGTGCAGACATCATGTGTTTTACCTGTTGTAGCTATGACCTCTCAGCACAAAGCACAGCACATGACAGCCCTAATTTCTGTCAGCTGCTTAATGACCATCTTATTTGGGGTGTGATTTTGTGGATGTTCAAGTGCGAGAGAGAGAGAGAGAGAGAGAGAGAGAGAGAGAGAGAGAGAGAGAGAGAGAGGAATAAGGGAGCTATAAAGCACAAACCAGGATCTTTTATTCAGTTCTAAAGGGCATGGTCACTTTTGGCCACAGTGGCATTAGATCTTGCTTAGGCCATGGGCTGGGCTAATGAATGTGCTACTAACAAACACGGTCAGCAAGACCTTTGTAACTTACATGATTTTATTCCATCTTCACAACAACCCTGGGAGGTAGCAAGGACGGCATTTTGAGTCTTGGATTGCATTTGAAGAAACCAGGGTGTACATGTTAACGAAACGGTGAGCCTAACATCACGGCCTGAGTCCACATCGTGTATGATGGGAGAGAATGGTTCCTGTCTCCAAGTATGCCATGCACACTTATGATCTGTGGCATCATCTCGGAGTTGATTTCCAAGATTCCCTCAGTTGACATGTTTTATGAGCACATTCTGCTGTCTGCTTTCATAGAAAAAGGTTTCTAGGTTCTCACTGTGCTAAAGGCCTAGGATCTTTTTCTTCCACTGGATCTGTCTTCACAACATTGAAAACAATTCAGGTTTTATTTACTAATGAGCCCCTTCTTCATTCCTCTTCACTCAACATCAATTTCATGCCCTTAAATACATTACATTTGAAGCTGTGATTTTTTCCCTGGAATCAAGCCAGGAACCAAGTTAATCTCAGCCCATTACACTACTAATGCTTATCTTCACCTCAGGATGTTTTCCAAAGTACTTAGAAGTCATTATCCCTTATAGGACCTAGCAGTTTACTAAGTTTCCACTTTGTTTAAAGTTAGTGTGACCATATAATTTACTACCGTAACCAGCATACTTTTAATGGGAAGGGAGGTCTCATGAGTAACTATGCCAGGACAACTGGCAGAAACTGGGAATGTCTCAATTGAGCACATATGTTTACTTAGTTAACAAACATCTTTTGGTGGCAAGGGGGTATGTTCTGGTTCTCCCTGTTTCTATATCAGCATCAATTATTTTTCTCTTGTATCTCTTATCACAAGGTATTGATATAAGAACACACTCTATAAAGTTCTTTTGAGCTACATGTATTGCTCACAAGACTTTTTATTCCACATGGTAGGATTTACCACAACATTTAATGTATAGTAGGTGCATGATAAATGCTCATTTGATGAAGGACCACATAAACAGCAAAAGCATTTGACAGATGATTCAAGAAGATTTCAAGAATGCAAAAGAAAGAAAATGCCAGCGTTTGATTGAGCTGCATTGGCAGATTTCAGACCTGAACATTGTTGCCTTATAATTTTGGTATCTGGGATAATTCTCACCACTGGCATAGTAACAGATTTTCTACAGAGAAACATTTAAGTTTAATGGCATATCAAAATGTATTCATAGTGAACCCAAGAAATGTAGTGAAGTTCTTTTCTCCCTTCAAGTGGAATGGAACCAAAGCATGGGCTTCTGGCAGACCCTGGAGCTCCACACAAGGCAGGACTTTATAGGTAGAACAAAGGTTTCAGGGACTGCTCATCACCTGCACACAATCACCACATAATCCTACCAGACTGCAACACAATTAAGGATGGAGAGGACAGACTCATGCAAATTAGACATAGAAGAGATGAATTAATGAACTGGAATATCACCTTTAGGTTTTACAAAGAAAATTGGGCCACGCTTAATAGAATATTTATGTCTGCTGGCCAGCACATCTCTCTCCTATGAAGAAATGTGAATGTACCCAAAGGCTTCTTAGGAATTTAGACTCTAGGTAGGTAGTTACATGATCTCAATGACGTTGGGATCAAGCTTAGAGTTTGTGAAGTGCTCAGATCCTCCGGGGGGTTAAAATAATGTCAAGAACTTTGGAAATCACCTTGCAGAACAACTCAGGTCTGCCCTTTGGTGAGCCCTCTCTTATACAGAGCCAAAATAGACACAAGTTTCTAATTTTAGTGTATGACATAAAAATGCTGGTAACAACAAACTATAGTATGATATGATTTTAACACTTTCAGTATGAAAATGGAATCCAAGGAGAAATAGAGGGAGAGAAATAACATATTTGCCTGACAAGTATAGGTCTGTGAAATCTTGCATGCTTGACAGAAGTGGGGTCTAGATTTGAGCCTCAGTTTTCCAGTAGCTAGAGGAAAAAACTGATTGATGCTTCCTCTCCACTCTCCATTTATCATCTCTTCATGCCTGACATGTTACCAAATAACTGAGTAATTAAGTTGTATCCTGGTTTCAAAGATTGGATCGGATCTGAAGACTCCCTAGTTTTTCCAGGCACAGATTTACCATCTCCCAGAGAAGGCACTTCTAAGAAGGATGAGTTCATTCTTACTTTAATTCAGAGGGTATCTCTTAATTCCAAGCTCCATAAGGTGCATCCTCCTTAGAAACAGAGCCTTGAATACTGATTCCACTAAAGGGATTGCCAATAATTATAAAGATATGGTGTACTCTTAGGTTAAGTATGATCAACTAAACTTTCTAATATGTAAAGCACAGATTTTTTTTTTTTAAGTTAGTACCTTTCCCCCTTCCCAGGTAAGTTCTGTCCTATAACTGGGGTAATACCAAGACTCACTTTTTTTTGGCATAGTGATAAGTGAAAGTCCCCATAACTAGTCAGTGCCTTAAGTTCCTCATTAAAACATGGTGTGACCACAAGAAAATAATACTGTGCTATAAAGCAGTGGCTTGAAACTGATACCTACTCTATTCACCATGTTCCAGCCAAATGGGGCATGTGTCATATTCTTCAGGGGTGTTGGGTTACGATTTGGTTGAAAATCACTGCCACAGAGAACAGTATTTGGAGAAAGACTTAAATCTTTAATAATAAAGTTGTCACCTTAAGTTAGTCATTAGCTGAGATGTGGTAATGTTTTTGTTTTAGTGAGTTTGTTGTGTTTGTTTTATTGTGATCTAAACCATGTTTGAAAAGAGAACTACAAAAAATTTACATCTGTCCAAACTTTACAAAAAGGAATTTCATAAACACACACACACACACACACACACACACACACAGACAAAGGAATCCATAGCAATACAAAGAAAATTCTATGGCACAAACATTGTGAAAACACAATACTCTGCCATCTACAAGGTGACATACTGCTAACTTGCCTAGCCAAGGATAAGTAATAATCTTCATAATGCTCAGGAATTGCATTCAATTAGGCATCAATAATTCCATCCCTCATTAGAGATCATCAGTGTCTAGAAACTAAATCGACAGATGTTTCTAAAATTTTGGCTAGAATTACATAGATGAAATAATACTGGAGTTACAGAAAATTCATGAAGATATTATTTGGTAAAACATCCATAATCAGAGTACATATAAAAAAAAATAGCTTTCCTCCTTCAGGATTAGTTCTTATTTATGAGGACATTTTTGTCCCTACAACATAGTCTTACCAGGGCCAAAACAGGAAAAGATATTAGTTATAAAAGATATACCAACTCATGGATTCAGATTTTTACTAGGTTGCTATCCTGATTTTGCAAAAGATGACAGAGCTTGAAAAAGGGACAGCGCCTGAAATTCAAATCTCCAAAGCCCAAGTTCTAAACTATTCTGTTATACAACTACAATAAACACAGAAATGTGTGTGTGTGTATTTTGCTAGGCTGAGGGCCTTTGGATTTTGTCAGATTTTCACAGGGTTTGTAACTTTCAAAGGTTAGGATTTATTCTTTTATTGACCAATTTGGAAAATGTACACAGTCACAGGGTTGACAGGGTCAGATAAGAATAGGACAAATGTAGTTAAAATCAGAGGCTCAGTTTACTAATAATAGAGGAAGATGTTTAGTGCATAAAAAAGAAAGTACAGCACAGACTTAAAAATTAAAACTTAACAGGAAGTACCTGTAACAATTTCATTAAAGCAAAACAAGAAACATATGAAAGAAATTAGTTGCAGAATTTCCAAGAGTCATGATAAAGAACTGCAGTAACAGTGATGACACTGGCCAAATAAAATGATTTCTCATAGTCTGGAACATTCAGTTCATGACAGTGTTTAGTGTTACTCTCATTTACATTGGGATTTCCATGCACCCTACAGCATGTGGGTACATATTAGGAAAATCAGAAGTCTGTCCAAAAAATACCTGTTTCAGAGTCACTTTTTTGTTTTAAAGATTTATTTATTTATTTATACAAGCACTGGGTACAGTAAGAAGCGCGGGACGGTGAGAGAATTCACCAGAGCCAGAGTGGGGAGCAGAACAGGCAGACTGACAAAACACAGTACTGAGGGGAGCAGCGGGCGGCAGGAGAGGTCTGCGCGCCATGTGGGACCCTCCTCCGGTGGCCGGGGAGCAGCCGGGGATCAAACCAGCGCTGCAGAGGC